AAGCTAGTCAAAGACTGGGCAAGGGGGGCATTTGTCAGAAGCATGTAGCTGCCTGACCCCATAGGGACAGGGAAGAACCATATTAGCTGGGCTGGTCCACATCAGCTTTTAGCAAGTCCAGAGCTCACAGTCGTCTGGAGCAGTGGAGTCAGCGACTGAAACCTGGAGGTGACTGCCAGCTGAGTGGAAATCTGTTGAGACAAATTTAAACTAGGAACAGAAGTTAAAATTTATGAACTTATTTGGAACCCTTAGGACCATACCCTTAGTAATGGGAAAATCAGTAGTCCCAAGACCAGGAGAGAGGAAAAATACCATCTTTAGGAATACTTATCTGGGGTCCTTTCAACCTCTGTGAAATGGGTCTAGGTTTTTATGGCTCTTTTGCTCCTTTGAGGCCTACTTACAAAATGACATAAAAGTTTTAGATTCATTAGTATTACCAATCTATACTGAAATCCATATTGTAGACAAAGCAGGTAAAACAGCAGAAGTGGACTCATACTTTGAGTCCCAACAAGAACTACAGATCTGGCTCCCTCTTCTGGCCTGCAGGGATACGTGCAAACAGAACACTGTATACATAATAAATAAACAAATCTTTAAAAAAAAAAAAAAAAAAAAAAGAATGTTATTAGCATTCCATCCCATAGTCCATATCAGGAATTTTAGATATCTCTCTCACCATCTGTATCTGTGTTCAAGTATGCTACAGGAACAATCCTTGGTAAGCTGGAACTGTAACAACCCTTGATTAAGCCAGGCTTAACACAATAGGAGCTTGTTTTTCACTGTCTTAAGTTAGAGCTGAGACCCAAACAAATTCTTTCAGAATCCAGGAAGATGGAGCGCCAACCATCTGCCATGTGATCGGTTGCCACAAGAGGGAGATGAGCTTTCTGAAGAATTTCATCTTGGCAATTTGGCTGTCGGCCTGAGAACAGCTCGGTTAGCCCTGCTGACCCACTCCCACCCCAACCACTGGATTCCATGTGCTCAGAACAAAAACTAAAAAGCAGAACCAGTGCCTTAGCGGGGACTCCCGGAGGCAGTTCCTGAAGTGAGGATCCGTGTAAAAGGCTTAGGGGGTGTCTCTGCGATGAGGAAACAGACAGAAGCAATGCCACTCATAACCACACTAATGCGCGTGGAGATGAGTTCGGCTCAGTTCCACAGAGGAATTCTTTGAGGGCGGCATATACAAGAGCAGTCTGGGTCAAGAACAAGAAGTTGGAATGTGTACATTCGTACATACATACAGTTTTATTTCATGTATATGGGTGTTTTGCTTGCATGCATGTCTGTACACCATATGCGTGCCTAGTGCTTACAGAGGCCAAAAGATGACATTGGACCCCCTGGAACTAGAATTTACAGATGGCTGTGGACCACCATGTGGGTGTTGAGAATTAAACCCAGCCCTTCTAGAAGAAGCCATCTCTCAAGCTCCTTAAAAAAAAACATTTTTCAGATGGCAAAACTGAGGCTCAGAAACCTGAAATCAAGTCACTTGTCAAAGCCCTTCAGTGAATAGGAAAGAGCCAGGATGCCAGTCTAGTATGTGTTAACAAAGCCCTTTGCATTATATCAAAATGTGTCTGGGCCATGATTAGTCTTCCCACTGTGCCTTACTACCAGTTCTATAAACCTTGTCATGTGTCTAAAGCCAAATACGTCACCTGTTTTACTTCCCCGGTCAACAGTGGTGCAGCCACCCTTTGGTGTCAGCTTTTCGACTCACCCCTCGGTACTCAAGTTATTGTACTTCTGACCTCTAAATGTCTATTTCCGTATCAGGGCTGGCATTGTGTTCCCGAGCTGTGGTATACAAAAGTGCCCAGCAAGTACCGTATGCGGGAGGTCCTGGAACCAGTCCTAAAGAGGGCTCATTAGTGGTGGATAGCATCCCAGTGATACTCTGCGCCAAGGAATGAGCTCAGAACCCAGGGAATGAAGCCAAAGTTGGCCGGTCAGTTTGCCAAGCTGGGAGTCCTTGCTCATGGTTATCAGCCAAAGGAAGGATGCCAGTAGAGGGGGTGAGACTGACTGATGGGGATGAAGAAGCAGTGATGCATCCTGGGAAGCGGGATCAGGCTCTTCCATGCTTGCACGTATCTCGTCAGGAGAGAGTGGCCTCTGATGTGGGGGTCTTGTGGGCCGAGCGGGATATACTTAGCAGATAGTAGGCGCTTAAAATAGGATTGAAAGGTCTTAATGAAAATATGTCCCCTGTTCTCCCAAGGCAATTTAATTTTAATTTGGACCTAATTTAACTTTTAAAAATTACCTGGCATTTATCTTCACATTTTCTCAGTATGTTCTTACACTGTTGTTTAGTGAGTTATCCATCTGAAACCATTAACTTCCTCTTCAATAGATGATAACTCAGTCTGTTATGTTTCCACCTCCCACTTCCTCTCCTTATCCCAGAACAAAAAAAAACCCGTGGTGCTGGAAGTGCAGCTCAGTTGGTACAGCGCTTGTCTAGCATGTGCATCTCTGGGTTCCATCCTTAGCACTGGACCTGCTGGTGTACACCAGTAATTCCAGCATCTCCCAGGAGGCAAAGGTAGGAGGCTCAGAAGTTCAAAGTCCTCCTCAGCTACATCGTGAGTTCCAGGACAAAACCAACACCCAAATAGAATTCTGGCAGACCATGCAATTACTAATCATCCCTGTGTGGCAGAGCCATCACAAGGAACCACCGTCCCCTTGACTGCCACCTCGGTGCTGGATACTAGATAACTGCAGTCAGCCCTTGTACCCTCAGATCTGTCTGAAATTATTCAAATCAGCCAGTCCTAAATCTGCTTATCTTCCCTGACCTGAATGAACCACAGTTGAAACACAAAGCAGACTCTTGCTCACGGCCGTCCGCTAAGCTGGCCTGCTCCTGACCAAGCCTGGGGCTTCTCAGTTTGGCCCCATGTAGTCAAGCATGTCCCTCCTCTTTCTCACATACTCTAACAAGCTCTTTTGGAAGACAGTTCTCTTCTCAGGAGGTTCCTAGTCCTCACTGCAACTGGATATACCCTGGCTGGCTGATATCCATGGGAGGTCTTCCTGAAGAGGAACGGAGCGGGAGGAGTGGGGGGGGGAGGAACTGGGAGGAGAGGAAGAATGTAAAAATAAACAAATAAATAAACAAAAACAAACAAAAAGACAATCCTCTTCTCATCCGTTGGCCTATCCATACAAATACAACTATTAATTTAAATCAATGTGTTTACCATGTGATCTAGCAATTCTAGGTATCACACAATGAAGTAAAAACATACTCCCATACAAAGACATATATCTAAATGTTCATGCTAGCATATGGTCACAGTAGCTCCAGAGTAGAAGCAACCCAAATATTTACCAGCTAATAAGCAAGTAAAGTCTGTTGTGTTTGTGCGAGGGAATGCTTACCTAGGAAGAAAAGGACTGAGCCATTGAGGGATACTAAAACATGGCTAAACTAAAAATGATACTCGTGAGAGAAAACATGCACAACAGACCACACACTGCGTGATTTCTTCATGTCCGTGTTCAGAATGGCTTGGCTCTAACAAGCAGGGGCTGTCTTTCTAAGGACAGACAGAACTGTCTAGAAAAACAGAAGCACAGGTTCTAGAGAGCTCCCCAAGACAGCAAGAGCATGAGTGCTGGAGTTGGTGGCCAAGCATCCAGGAAGGGCGGGATGCCCTTCCATTCCAGACCTGAGACTCGGCTAGACCCAGGGAAGGAATTGGTTAAGACGAGGTTTCACACCGTAAGGACTCAAGGAATTCTGACTAATATTACACAATAGAATAGTTAGGATGCTCTTTTTCATTGTTTGGACTTTTTAAAGGTTTTATTATTTTTTAATTATGTGCAAATGTGGGGGGGGGGTTGTGCACATGAGTGTGCAGGACACTCAGAAGCTAGAAGAGGGCATCAGATCGCCTGGAACTGGAGTTACAGGTGGTTGTGAACTATCCAGCCTGGGTGCTGGGAACTGAATGTGGGTCGTCTGTGTTGACGGGAAGTATTCTTAGCCACTGAGCCATCTTTCCAGTCCATGGTCAGGGTACTCTTTTGTCAGGATCCTAAGATACCAGTCCATGGTCAGGGTACTCTTTTGTCAGGATCCTAAGATACGTAGCAACTCAATTCAACTTTGGTGTGGGAGGAGAAACAAGCATTTCTCCCTTTAAGAAATGCAGTGTGGTTTCTAAGATGAGGTGAAAATGTCAAGAGACTGGGTGTGGAGAACGGATACTTGTGGGGACTTTAAAAAGATTATTACTTGGGGGCTGGAGCGATGGCTCGGCAGTTAAGAGCATGTACTGCTCTTTCAGAGGACCTGAGTTCAATTTACAGCATCTACATCAGGTGGTTCACCACCAACTGTAATTCCAACTCCAGAGGTACCCAACACTCCTAGCCTCTTCAGGCTTCTCCACTCATGTGTACTAACCCACATACAATTAAAAATGATACACACACGATTAAAAATAATAAAGTTATTATTTCTAAAAGAGTATTACTATAATAGTTGTGGGAATATGGGAGGTTTTCATTTTTCCTTAAATTCTAACCGCTATTCTAATAAATACATATTTTTGTAGTTGGTTGTTTTTGCTTTTTTTGAGGGTCCTGCTACCAAGCTCCCAAATAAATCACATATGGAGGTTCATTCTTAATTACAAATGCCTGGCCTTAGCTTGGCTTATTTCTAGTCAGCTTTTCTTAACTTTAAATTAACCCATTTACCTTTTGCCTCTGGGCTTTTTCTTTTTCTTATTTCTGTAATCTTACTTTCACTCTTACTCCATGATTGGCTGTGTGGCTAGGTGGCTGGCCCCTAGTAGCCTCCTCTCCTTGTTTTCTTGCTGTTTCCTTTTTTCTTCCAGATTTCTTCTTCTATTTATTCTCTCTGCCTGCCTGCCCCACCTATTTCTCTCTCCTGCCTCACTATTGGCCGTTCAGCTCCTTATTAGACCATCAGGTGTTCTAAAGAAAAACAGTAACACAGCTTCACAGAGTTAAACAAATGCGACATAAACAAAAGTAACACACCTTAAAATAATATTCTACAACATATTTTTGTTTAAAAATCATAGTTAGAAAAGGTAAATCTGTAGAGAAAATGCAACTCCACTTATGATTGCCTTTGGTAGAATTGACCAAATGGGCATGATGTACATTTCCTGATTATCACTGAGTCCCACACTTAGAACAGGTGCATTTCATGGGGTGTAAATTGTGACCCAATAAAGCTGTTTTTGAAAAATTAAGACTGGACAAAGAAATCTGCCCACTGCCAGCTGAGGTGTGAACAGGACATTGCAGAAGTGGCAGAACACGCCATTAGACTCCTCCGTGAGACTCCTGCCTCCATTAGACTGTGTGAAGGGGACGCTCCAAGTGACAGCCCAGAAGCCATCCTGGCTGGATTGCCAAGGGGCTTGTCCTCAGCATAACTTGTTGTAGGTAGGTTCACATATAGGAAAATGGGAATAATGATAGCACGTTCTTCCATGTACAGACTGACTCCACGGGAGCCATCTTACTGTATTGAATAGGTGACAGGTAGGGATGCAAACCGGTTCTAACCTAAAGAGAAAGAACGTCCGAGCCAGCAGAGGCTCAGTGGACACCCCCATACCCCCGTACACACTGTAGGAGGAGTTAGGTTTGCCTCCTTTACGCAATCTTCGCAATCTTCCTGTTAGATAAATGGTTTTTCCTTGACTTCTCCCTTGAATAAGTTTTAACACCTCCTTGATTACCCAGTTCTGAGCATAAGAAAATATTTAACATGTTAATTTTTTTCCTGAATGGGAATTATGTTTTCATTTATTTATTTATTTGTTTGTTTGTTTGTTTGTTTAGGTTTTTAAAGACAGGGTTTCTCTGTGTATTCTTGGAGCCTGTCCTGGAACTCAGTCTGTAGACCAGGCTGGCCTCACAGAGATCTGCCTGGCTCTGCCTCCCGAGTGCTGGGATTAAAGGCGTGTGTCACCACTGCCCGGCATTTTTGCTTTTTACTTATTTTACATCCCAACTACAGTTTCCCCTTCTCTCCTCCCAGCCCCACTCTTCCTCGGTGTCTGTTCAGAAAGGGGCGGGTCTCCCGTGGATATCAGCAAAACATGGCACATCAAGTTGTGGTAAGACTAAGCCCCTCCCTTTGTATTAAGGCTGCACAAGATGACCCAGTATGAGGAATAGGGTTTATTTCTTTTTCCCTCCCTCCCTCCCCCCTCCC